TTCTGCAACACATTTCAGAAGACTTTTTGTGACAAACTTTCATTAAGAACACTCAGCTGGACTTTCTGTGTAGACAAAGCCCTTCATTGCAGCCTGGTCTCTTTGGACTGCAGAGGTCACTAGAACAGTCAATGTACTAATTGCAGGTAGCAAATGAAAGCGATGGATAAACATTTACCAGTATGATGTAGTAAACATTAATGTGAATACTTAGATATTTAGGGTAGCAACTTGAATGCATCTGAGCCTGATTTCTCCATAGATATGTCATCATGTCCATTTTTATAAATTTTTAGAAAATGTTTAAAGGATCATTTCATAGGGCTGCCTTTTTTTTTTTTTTTTTTTTTTTTTTTTTTTTTTTTTATGTGTGTGAACGTTTCCAGAGGATGTAAGACTAAAAGCAGCTGCTGATTTCAGGCCATCACATGGGCACTGGGTAGCAGTGCCTGGCCTGGCGGGCAGCCATCACCCACCCTCGGTGCCGTGCGCCCTCCACCTTTACCTTCTCCAGCAGCAGCAGCAGCACGTCTGGAGCTCTGTCTCAGAGGAATCTTTGTGCTGGCTCAGTCCATCCCATCCAGCCCCAGCTTTTTTCCCAGTGCATGATGCTTTGTTTAAAACGTCCACGAAGAATGAACCTAATTCAGTCTTCCACTGGTTATGAATGCACCTTACAGTTCATTTCGCTCTGGGGCTCCAGACACATTACATCCAGCCACTTCTTCCAGGAAAGAAATCACTGGCACACCTGCTTCCTATCACATTTCTCCTAAATAACAAGGGCCCAGCCTCCCTTGCAGTGGACTCAGCAACCCCAGTTTGCCGCAGTGTCCAACGGAAGGGGAGGCTGTGCCTTTGCAGAAAGCTGTCCTGGTGATGTTCTGCTTGCTCGCCACTTTTCTGCCAGCCTGGCCACAGGATTTTTGCCTGCCAGGATTGACGAGGCCAGTCACAAAATGCCGGAGGAGTTAACCTGCCCTGAGAAAGTGGTTTGGTGTTTCAGCTGACGAGGCCTCTGGGCAGCTCAGACTCCTCTGCTTGACTCAGCCGGCAGCTCCACAAGAGAGGATGTCACCATCGGGATCACACAAGCAGAAGAACATGAAAGCCAGTAAATTCGGTGGCACCAGAGGGCTCCAGCACTGCCTCTGTGCCTCTCCACTGTGGTCAAGCCCTGCCCCAGCTCTCTGCCCTGTCCCCGCTGCTCCTAGCTCCAGAGCAGGGCACTCTTCCTCCAGAAAATCCCGCTGTGGGCTTGAGGAACCTGCCTCTCTTTTGCACTAAGATTTCAGAGACAAAAGACCCCCTCCCCCTTCTCCCCCAGGATCAGGGCTCCTGCCCTGTCTCAGATTACACTTCCAGTGGGGAAGGGCTGGCAAAGCAGCAAAGGAGGCACCAGCGCAGAGCACAGGCCAAGTTTAGCCCTGCCCTGTGCGCTGCTCACAGGCACTTGCACAGGTTGTTCCTGTTCTGCAGAGCTCTGCATCCTCTCACCCGCAAAATCCTTGACAGACAAGGTAAGGGCACAGCTTGCTTTAGAACCCGGTGCTCACAGAGGGATCTGGTGTGCAGTTCACTGTGCTATTTAGGGAATTTTTATAGGTTCTTAAATTCCATGTTGCGTTAGAATAATCTTTTTTTTCAACTGTCTTAATTGAAAAGAAGACCTAAAGTGGATTAATCTTCCTTTTCTTTAAAGGGTGAAGTAGGTAACAAAATAAATTCACTGCTCAGAAGATCATCTGCACAGCCACCTCTTATCAATACTACATATTCTGAGTCACTGCTACCCAAAAGTCACACTATACAAACTCTGCTTTTGTCCATGGATCACCAGGATTGTACATTGTGTGGTCCCCACAAGTCCCTTTTTGTATTGTGCTCAAATCACAAAACTGAAAATGTTGACTGCACCTTCTTTACAAGCATATTACTGGATCCCATGGATGGTCTGAGAATTTATAGATGTGCTGCCATCCATATGTGTCCCAGTACTAACAGTCATTTATTTTTCCTCTCCTTGTTATAATGTAAACATCAAGAACATGTTCAAAGAAGGAAAAAAAAGAAGGAAAAAAAAGAAAAAAGTTCTTAGTTTGATTTCAGGAAGAATACTAAGACAGAAAAATCAGGTTCAGTACTGGTAAGCAGCTAATCTGTATTTTCATCTGCTTAGTCACATTATATATGGCTTTCTCATACCAGAGGGGATACTTGACAAAGGCAGCATTTTCTCTATTTACAAATACCCTGAAGTTGCTTTTGCAAACTCCTTCCCAAGACTCTGCAACTTATAACATGAATGTTCCAACAGTTACATTTAATGTTAATGAAGTGCTCAACTCACCTGAACAGTACTTCGATAAAACAAGGCATGAGGAGAGAAGCTGAAAAGGAAAGTCTTTCATGGGAGATGCAGACTGCCCCTTGTGAAACACAGGAGTCCTTCCAGCTGCTTAAGAGAACTTGCACAGCTCTTTGTTTCTTTTTAGTGTCCGAGCTGGAAGTGTAACAAGGCATCTACCCGGTGTGAACCTGATACCTGGAGGGAAAATTGCCTTCTCCTTCAACCCGTGCTCTGCACACGTGCACTGGACTGCTTTACAGCAAAGCAGCTTGGTCTGAGACAAGTGTGTCCTTGAGACCAGCACTGCAAGCTACTTCTGTCTCCAGCTGCTCATTTCCACAACACATGTGGCAATTTCTGCTTTTTTAGATCTGATCTGCTGGCAACCATCCAGCCTTGCTAAAAAGGGACCAAAAATGAAGGTTGCAATTCTCCAGCTGTCTCTGTCCCTTGCATGATAAAACAGGAATGTAACTGGATGACCCTGTGTCAGGAAAACTAAAAAGATTTAAACAATACAAGGAAAAAAACCCACTGAAACTCAAACAAATCCTGTATACTACCAAAAAAGTTGCAACGAAATAATAAAGCAAATTAGTACTTGAAAAATATCTGCTGAAAAGCAGAGTGGGGAGATTTCAGACTGGGATTCTAGAGGTCTTTCCTCCTCCTCACCTCTACCCAGCTGTTTGTGATGAAATGTGAACAGCCACTCAGCCAACAGCATCCCTGCACCTGTGTCCCTCAGCAGGCTGAGGGGAAAATAACCTGGGAATCAATTTCCTATCAGAACACCTGGCATTGGGAATCTGTCATCTTGGCAGGAATCCAGCTCAGGAAATTTCTACAAATAAATACCAAACTGCAGCATGCAACAAACAAATCTACCCAGCAGCATTATTCTGCTGTCCTTTTAAAGAGAATAAAGAGAGCTGAACTAATATTTGACTATATACAACTTGCAACATTAGTAAATCCCATCTGCAAAGGTACTGATTCTTACACCTACTGTGGAGCACCTGATCCAAATCCTCAAACCAGTCAGAATTCTCTTGTTAGAGACAATTTAAAACCAGCAGGATACAAGAAATCAAAAGCAGCATTGCATTTTCAAGGCAAGTTCAGGTATTAGATACCTAGAAATTCAAAAGCAACATTCCAAAACACAATTATGCTACCAGACACACAATGTCAGGTGAGATTTGGTGTGTTCCAAAGCTCTAGTTTAAACTCTGTATGGTGATGCTGCGGATTATACAGAGGATGAATAAATAATGGAAATTGGTTTTACTTGAAAGCAATGCATTTTGTTACTAGAGCTTTTTACTATACCAAGTTTTGTGCAGTATATCAATGAGACCCAGTATGCAGAAACATAAAAGGCAGTTCTGGTAGCTCAGTCCAAGTATCCATTATTTATGGCATCTTTATTGTCACGCTCCATGGCAATATGCAAGTCCCAGGTGAACTTCTGCTTGACCCAGTTCTGCTTTCTGGAAGATACCAGTGTAAGTGCAGTGACTGTGCTACCAAAACATTTAGCAATCTATTGCTGGCTGTAAGACTCAGTCACTCAAAATTAATTCTTTCATCTTTTATATTTTAAAATATAAACTGCACTGAACAAATGCATTCAAGGTAAGAACCTGACCTGGGTACACAAACAGTACAGAAAAACAAGAGAAAAAACACATTTTGTGCACATTCCTGACAAAATTATCAGTGAAAGTTAACTGTTACATAAGTCCAAACATATTCACACAGCATATTACTCAGCAGAAAGATGGACTGGAAACCATTCCTCTCTCTCAAAGCAGTTAAACACTGAAAAAGAAGTCATGTTAAAGGACTAGGCTTTATAATGTCAGATACTGAAAGAACTCAACTGTAAAAGCTGGATCTGTGGAAACCCCCAGACACCAGAGAGAGAATTCCAATTTCTCCTTTGTACACTCAGGGTGTTCCAGACTGAGGCAGAGGCCACTGGACAAACCAAGAACTGGGAAATCATTCTGCAATCCAGGAGTCCTCCTGCAGCAGTGCCCGGGCACGACGGGCACCGGCACTGGGTGAGTACAGAAAACCCTGGGTGTCTTCACCCTGGCACAACCTGCAGCAGTGCTGGCAGCAATCCTCAGCACTACAGAAAGCTGGCAAAGCCTCCCCATGGCCAGTTTCTGTGCAACAGTGGAACTACAGACTTGTGTCTTCTCAGTGCCCCAGCAAAAGGGGCTTATTCTAGGTCAGTCTGCATTCAGGTAGCACTTGGATCTCTCTTCCTAGCCTCACTCACAGACATCCACAGGGCTGAATGTAACTTTGTAAGGGTTAAGCTTGTTAATTTGCCCTCATTAGACAAAACAGCAAAAGGGAGGGAAATAAGTCTATAAACAGAGATCAGATTCCATTTATGGGCCTGCTGTAGCAGGGCTTTCTCTACAGAACAAAGCAGTCCAAGATTTACTACTTCCAATAGGGCATCTGTGATGATTTAAGGATTCCAAACAAGTGGGATGCCAAGGCTCACTTTCAGCAGCCTCTTGCCACTAACTGGGACATAACAAACAACTCAAAAGTACAAAGACTGTAAGGTGGGAAATGTGGACATGAAATACAAAAACTTTGTTCATAAATCAAAACAGACAAAAGATTGATTCTCCAAACCTCCATTACTGATACTCTATTCAATTTTCCTTAGAATTAGTTATATTTCTGGGAATAATACTAAGAAGCTTTAGCTAATACACAGCATCAATATGGGTCATATGCAGAACTTTGTGCTGTTTGGCCCAGCAAATCACACAGTTTTAAGAGGTGCCTGTTCTCCCTCAGAGTATTTGTGCTTCAGGAGATTGGTCAAGTTCTGTGTAGGTTGTAGAAGTTTTCCTTGGTTTTTTTTTTTTTCCCCGTTATTCTTTACCCATTTAATTTCCTTTCCAACATAAATGCAGACTGTACATAGTATCTGAAACACTATTACATCAAATCAATATAGAGAAAGATTACAGTCATTCTAACAAACACTCTTTTTCTTAAATATTGTAAAAATCTGTATCACTCTAGCAACTGTCTCACAGGGCCCCTCACTGAAGAACGAGATGAGGAGGCCTGCTTGTTCTAAAACTGCTTTCAGCTCAGCAGTTTAAGGTAAAAATACTCAAGCAAAATATTTCAGATGTTTCAGTGTGCCTAAAGTGTTGTTATCTTAAATTCTAGACTCATTTTCTTGTATGTTCACACATACTGCTGAAATTCAGGAACAAAGTATTTCAGATGCAATTCTTTCAAGTCCATTTACACAAATGGTGCTCAACATCAAAAATTAAACATGCTGTCAACAATCTGTACAAAGGTAAAGGTGAAAAATATAATTTGATTACAAAAGAATTTAACACCATCTGTACACCACAGATAATGCTTTTCATAAGATAAATTTATCACCATCCTCATTCAATCACTCTGAGATGTTATCTCCCAAATTTAAAGCATGTATTTTCTGTGTCCTTATATACAATTAGTGTTTTTATAGTATTTCCTACTTGACTGTGAACAGTTCAGGTTTTGTACAATGACTCAAATGAGATGAATGAGGGGGAAGCTTATGCATGTTACTTGAATGAAAGATATTTCACTTGTCTAGCTCCAAAAGAGCCAAGAAAGGTAAGTGATAAAAGCACCAGCTTAGACTCTTTTGAACATAAATTCAGGCATTTTAATGTGTATCTCATTAAAGCTACATGAGTTTCCATGTAGGTTATTCATACATATTATGGCACTTGGACTTTCCTAACAGGTATTTAGTTACCTAGGACATCTAGGCTAAAAAAGAAAACATCTGCTAAAATTAACCATATCTGTAAGAAAACACTTCTGTCCCAACTTTCAAACCCCTTAATTTTCCTGAAAGTTGCACCAAAATACAACTGTTGATATTTCACATTCTTTGAGTAAGTTGCCTGTGGCAAGGAAGTCACATTAACCTGTGAGTTTCCATCCCTAGTGATTTGTGAGCACAAAGAAAGGCCACCTTCTCAACAAACCAAGTTGCCTCCTGCTCCTTCGTAATTACAATATGCAGTACAGTTACTGGTGGATCTGTTTTTTGGTTGGACTGAAGTCTTAGCAGTAATTACCCATTTTGTCAGCCAAATTTAACCCAAGGCAGTTTACACTGGCAGCCTTTTCTCCATGTAAGGCATTATTCTGACATCTGCTGGCCTGCTATCCAACCATAGGTCAAAATATACTGCATTTGTTATTCAAAAGGAGTATATATATTAATCCAAAGATAAGAACAATTTAGTGAACATAAATGACACACATTTAAACCAGGCCCACGTATTTTCATATAAATCTTACAACTCTACCAGTATTTTGGTAGGTTTCTATTGCTTTCTTAACTCATCCAAACTGCTGTATATTACAGGGCTTTAATACAAGCAGCTTTGGGAAAGAAAATTATATTTAGAAGGGAAAAAAAGTTGTGACAAGTGAAAACAAAAAAAAACCAAAAAACAAAAAAACCCAAGAAGCTGTTTTTTAAAAAAAAACCTTTACTTGTAAAATTAAGCAGCATGCTACTTTGTGATTTATATTTGAATTTAAAAAGACTAATTAGACCGAAATAAAGACAAAAACCAAAAAATGGCAAGTCTATAAATAATGAAAATTTTGATTTCACTAGACTTCAATGAAAAACATTTGGTAATTAAATACTTGCTACTGTTCGTTACATTGATGAACTTTATTAGGGTTAAAACTATAACAAAGTTCATCCTAAAACTTTTCGCAATGCAAAATTATTTTCACTCGAGGAGTGTCTCAACTTGAATGCTAAGAATTACAAGCAATCTTCTGGAGCAGACACATTCATAAAACTTTATACATCTTTTGGAACTAAGATATTTATACTACTAAAATCAAACATGCATCACTTCCCATACATTCTGGTATCATGATTTATATTACATTATGTAACACCATTCTTCTAAACAGCAGCAGTTTATCATACGTTTGCTCCATTTTCTTTGGATTTCTGATCTTTATCTTCGTTCTTCACAATGTCCTTCAAAAGGAAAAAGGGAGAGGATGAGAGCAATTGCAGAAGCTGTATTTCTCATGCAAACTGTAAAGCAGCATGAGACACAGATACTGTTTGTATCTTAAGGATACTACGTGAACTGGTATCCTACTCAGTTTAGTTATAACCAGTTCCAGGATCTTCCTGAAAAACTGAGGGGTAGAAATGCTCTGGAGCTTCTGGGTTTTGCTTAAAACTCATTTCACTGAGATACCCCCACATACTGAAATAGTTGAATTCTGCCTTGAAAAAGTACTCTTGACCAGTCAAACAGAGGAGCAGACTTGGACTGCTGGAGATGGACAAGATCAGGCCAGGAGAACATTCAGACAGTTTGAGATCTACATGAAAATTTATACCTTTTTAAAAACACTGAAGTCAGGAACATATGTTGCAGGTTAAGAAAAAAATGTATTTAATTGGTTACCTTTAAATATTCAATCAAACATTAAGCTTCTTCTCTATATATGTTGATACTCCTGCCCTGAATTCAGGTCAAAATTGTTTTTACATTGAAATGTTTGTTTCAATAATTAGTCTACAGAATTTTTTCTACAACAATAAAAAATGGAATTAAACAATTCTAACCTGTTTGAGAACACTCTGTATGTCATCCATAACAGTAGCTAAATTTTTGATTGTCTTATTCAGCTGACCCTCGAATTGCAATTTTTTATCATCTGAGGTCTTCAAATTTTCTTGCAGTTGGCCAAGGTCCTTTTTTACTTCTTTTAGCTCCGCAGATAGACTTTTGTTAGAATTCTCCAGTTGTAGTATGGTTTTCTCATCCTCATCTTAGGAAGGGAAGAAATAAAAACGTCAAGTCATTTCCCATGCTGTGTACTTTGCATCTCAATATTCTGCTTGTGTGCAACACCGTAATACCAATTTTTAAAGAACATAAAAACTGCACTGAATTACCATTTGATAATACTCAATTCTGACTACATTTAAAGTCTTGTAATTCAACTTCAATAAACTTTACACCACAAATATTTCCCAAATTGATTTCTCTACTTAAGAAGTCTCAGTGCTTTGCACCCCTGAAGGCATTGCCTTCCAAGTGACATCCCACCTGTTTTTTCTTCTAGTAGCTGCAGCTTTTGCTCGATCTCTGCCCGCACCCTTTCACTCTTCTCCAGCTTCTGCAGGAGGCTGCCCACATCCACCATGGCTCCGTTGTACACGATGAGCCCCACGTTCTCCTCCACAGCCTTGCACTCCTGCTTCACCGCGGGCGACGGCAGCAGCAGCCGGTTCCCTGCAGCGGGGAACGAGCACAGTGTCACCCTGGGAGCAACCTCAGACACAAGTGTGCTCTTCTATCCTTAACAACCACAGTGTCACCCTGGGAGCAACCTCAGACACAAGTGTGCTCTTCTATCCTTAACAACCACAGTGTCACCCTGGGAGCAACCTCAGACACAAGTGTGCTCTTCTATCCTTAACAACCACAGCATCATCCTGGGAGCAACCTCAGACACAAGTGTGCTCTTCTATCCTTAACAACCACAGTGTCACCCTGGGAGCAACCTCAGACACAAGTGTGCTCTTCTATCCTTAACAACCACAGTGTCACCCTGGGAGCAACCTCAGACACAGCTCAGGAGAACAAATACAGACCTCAAGTTTGCTGGTCTATCCCTCACACTTCTCTCCTTCTCCTGACCCCAATTCTCCCCCCTGCCAAAAAGCAGTGTTCTCTTTGAAGACATCATTATCTGCCTCTTTCCTGCAGGAATTTGTCTTCAAAACTCAGGCTCCATTCTACTACCTGTAGCTCTGAGTCTCCTGACTTCAAAACTACTAATATGGAATGATATTCATCAATATTGAACATTAACCTCTGTCCTCTTCCCTATTCCAAAATATTAAGGATTTATCCTAGAGTTGCAACATTATGTGTTGGAAGCACAAAAAACCCTGTTACTTTTGAACTGCCACAGATTTACTTTTCCAAACTGGCTCAATTAGTTTCTGCAAGAAATCAAGTACCTCAGAACTCTCATTATCACACAGAAATAACTCTCTGGAAGTTTGTGGGAAAAAAAAAAAAAAATACCACCTAACATATCTTCCTGAAGCTCTTCGGACTCCTCTTGGTTTTCTTCATCTTTAGAAGTGTCTGTTAGTCTTCTGTAAAAACAAGATTCTCGAAGCACTACTTTATTAAGCAGCTTCTTGACCTACAACACATGGAAAGAAATATGGTGTCATTTAATACCCAGACATCCTGTTACCTAAACAAGAATAGTTTAGCTTGGAAAACTGAAAAGAAATTTCATAGCTTTTTGAACTTTAACCCACTGGGGCTTAAAATGCAAACAAACTAGGAAAAGAATAAATACAATTTAGAAACAAAAGCTACGTATACATTATGGGCATATTTTAAACTGCCAAATTCACCTTTTCACCCCCAGTCCATTTACAAAAGATTAAATTCTTATTTCATTGCAAATATGAAGTGGCTGCATAAAAATAAGAGATCAGGTATGTTAGCAAAGCCTTTGGAAACTAAATTACTTTTCTCCCACTTAGAACAGACCTGTAACATCTGGAAAGTTTTTTAGTAGTATACAAAACCTGAGCACGTGACAGGTGAAGTCCAAGAGTGTACAGGATCTCCTCCATGTCCTTCTCCAGAAGGTATCCACAGTGACTTTGATCAAAATAAACAAAAGCCATCAGGAGATCCCTGTTAACAGTTACCATCTGGGTCTTGTCTTTTTCCTAGAGAAAATTCATTATGGGATCATTAGGGAGTTAAAACATCATTCCAAAAATATACCAACTTTTATTTTATGTCAAGTAATTAATATTACTATCAATTACCTACTTAGATTACGTTAAGACTAATTTAAGCTATATATGAAAAGGAATCTTTTAGGATTTAGAAGAAATACATCACAATGGACAGTAACAGCGGGTAGACACAATTTCCTTTTGTTCATGCTAGTATGTAAAAATGGTCATAGAATTAATCTAATTATAAAATAGGAAACATCCCTTCTGCCCTCAGTCGTTTACTTAACAGCTGTTTTCAAAGGGAAAACAGGTCTTGTAATAAAAATAAAGCTAAGCTTTATTCTAACGAGGTCTATGCAGTCGTTAAGAAAGGTGTTAATTACTTTATCTTTAGATGCCCTCTCTTTACAGTGCTTATTTCCTTCTTTTCTGTCCTCCCGTTTGTTCATTTCCTCTTCGTCCCGGTCTGCAAAACAGAAAGAAAATTCAACACACCCACAGCAAACGATTATATAACCATTACCAGAGCACATGTTGCCACTATAAAAGTCCACATAAACCCCCAAACATCTGCAATATACTTCCCTGAGAAATAATAAAAAAACACATTGAAGTGAGCCCTGTTAAGTTCTGATTTTTCTCTAGCCTTATTTTAACATAATCCATTTATAATTTTTCCCTGTGTTTCACACGCAGGACAGAAGAGCTGAAACAAATGCTAACTAGGCCAAAATGAGTGCTGCCAACATCTCCCATCTATTTAAGTGGTGTGCAGGAAATTGCCACAATTCTCCCTGATGAAGCTTGACAGAGTCTGCACTCAGCTTTGCTTATTCCTATTCAAATTCAGTATTATTTACTCTCAAATACTTCATATAATAAAACTCATACACACTATGTAATTAAAACCACGTGTTTATACTCATGTTGAGTGAGAGATTACTCTTCCTATGACTTAGATTCTCCCAAGAAGTTACATCACTTATTAGATGTGAATTACAAATGGCAGGTTTTTTGTCTAGAGGTAGACAGTACAGTAAAACTAGACTGAAAGAGAAAAAGGGATGAGACAGCTGCTGGGATAGATTATGGCATGCAGCTCTGTACCTTCCGTGCAAGTCTTGGGTCAGAGAATCATGTGCCAAGCTCAGTTTTAAGCTCACCTTCCTTGTGAGGAAAACTTGGGAAAAACTATGTATTACACCACTTGGTTAATTTTACCAACCCTTTTCTGAGAACCAATTGCTTTCTCCTGCACCTCCATGGCTTGCTAGGTTTTCCCAGCAACTCTTGACTGGGAATGGCACAAGGACACATTCTGGGAAGCAGCAGCACTTGCACAGAACAGACAAGCCCAGGCCACTCTTACAGACAAATTATAAGCAAATAGGAGTTATTCTGGAAACCACAGATTAGCATCAGCTTTTTAAGCTGGTGCAGTACTCTGCCAAAAATACAACTGAAGATGCTGGGACTGCAGTATCCACACAGTTCAAACCCACATGTCTAGCAAAACCTCTGTGTAGAAAGGCAACTATCCCCAAGTGCAAACCAAAAAGATGTTTTTACACCTTCCCGAATCCCTGAGCAGGGGGAGAGCTGCTGCCGTTGCCTGCAGAGTCCTCCACACCCTTCCCCTACTTTTTCAGGCTAACACAACTCCACTCAAACAAAAACCAACTTGTGACATGGGCTGAAGAGCAGCCACACTACATTCTGTCCTAGCTAAAACCAAGATGGCATTCCAGAACTGATGATTAGGAAGTTAGGCATGTAAAAGTGGCTTGGTTTTTCAGAGGTGCTGAATACTCACATCTCCTACTGACTTCAATGGGAGTTGCGAGTGGTCTGCATTCTGAAAAAAATAAAACCACCTCTATATGCATGCCTTGCTTAGAGCACCACAGCTAGTTCACAGTCACTACGTTCATGCTGTGCCTGGCATAAAGGTACTTACATTTGACGAAGAACTGGTCAAAATTACTAAAATAAAATTAGTTTAATAATGCAATTTTAAGTTGTCTAGTTCCAGTGCGTTCTCCAGCTTGAAAGAACGTAAGAGATGATAAAAAAATTTGTTAAAGGTCACAAAATTCATAGTTCAAGATACCTTCATCTTCATCCTCAGCCTCTTCTGCCTCCATTGGATCGTATTCTTCTTGATTATTGTCCTCTTCTGTTTCTTCTTCATCTTTAGAATCATCTTTCCTTTTATCTTCCCTCTGTAACAAAAATTCCTGAATATTTATCTAGTCAGAACCAAAACCCAGCAAAGTAAAAACCCTATTACCAGTCAAAATTTGCCTACATTTATGCATAGTGACCCAAGAACAGATACAAATTGATATGATACAGCTGAATGTTAAAATACTCCCAATACACCTGTAAAAATTTTAAATTACTGAATATAATTGAAGCATTTAAATAGATCAAAAAGTCAAATCAATTAACTAACATTACAAGAGCTGAGTTTCTGAAAGCAGTAATGTAAAATAGAAACAGAAACACTTTAATATTGATCCAGACAGGCTAGACTGCATATGAACTAACTGCAGACCTTCTTTTCATCTCTCTCTTCTTTTTTATCTTTATCGTCTCCAGATTTTCTTCTTTTAGGTTTTGGATCATCCGTTTCATCGTCTTTTTCTTCTTTTTTTTCTTTTCTCTCATCTTTTTTGCTTTTTTTGTCCTTTTTGTCCTCTCTCTCTGGGAGAGAAATCAGTGCTTTGTAAATTCTGACACCAAAATCTCTCTGAAGCATTTCATTGAAGAGTTCTGCAAACAATGATACCTGCACATAAAGAAGAAAGAAAAGAGAAGTGACAAAAAGTTTTAAAACATGTATTAAAAATTCATATAGTCATCATAAAATAGCAATGACACGCAATTTTAGCAACTTACACCATATCAGAATTTTATGAAGTGTCAGATTTCTTACATTCTGCTTTGAACATGCTTAAACAACTTTACAAATTCCACTGAACATCTGAAAACCTGTGTATTCCTCTGGCTACCGTGCAGTGAGTACATTCCTACCACGTACCAAAGCCTGGGCAATTCAGAAATTCTCACACGACCATGAGAAAGAAACAGGAACAGCCAACTGTGAGCAGCAGCGCAGCGTTACCTCGAAGGAATGCTCTTTGTTATCCTCCAGCCTGTAATCCAGCAGGACGCTCAGGGACATGATGCTGCAGTCAAACTTGCCGCTCTTGGCTGCCCAGTTGGGGTGCACGATGATGGCCGGCTCATCCGGCAGGATGTAGCGCCGCTCCCGCCGCTGACGCTCCAGCTCCTCCTGCCGTTTTCTTTCCTCCTCCTAAACAGGGACCAAAAACCAACATGGAGCAGACTCCAAAGCTGATGTTTCAGCCTCTACATTAGTTTTTGGGACTGGCTGCTTTCCTGAGCAAAGGAAAGCCTAAGCTGCTGAAAGCAATGCACGGCTGTACAGCACAGCCAGCTGTTTACTCCTTCCACAGGCAGAGAAAGGCTTCATACCTCACCTCTCCAAAGACACCCAACACAGCTCTAACAGTTACCAGATGACAATTTGTCTGACTCTTGATTATGGAAATGCAAACTCCACAGATATATCTGATGCAAATGAAACAAAGGGTCACAAAATGTAAAATTCCACCCTCTTACTGATTGCCAAGACAAATACTGAAGTCCCCTGACTACAAAAAAAGTCAAGGCAGAGCTTGTGCTTCATAAAAAGCCAGCACAATCACAGCTCCCCTTCACTCCTAAAGAAAGCTGTGGCAAGAAACCCAAGCTAGCTGGATGCCATCGAAGCTGTGGGAGAAGGCACAGCAGCTGACAGAATTAGCAAGCACATGGCCCTTCCTCTCTCAACAAGGTTTACAGGGATGTATAAAAACATAAGACTTCCAATCACCCCATACAGGTTAGCAGGTAACATACAAAAAGGCAGGTTTAAAAGCAACTAAAGCACAAGCCATTCTCTAGACATTTCTGCCCCCTTTCTGTGGTTGAGCTTTGGCCTTATTGCACAGATTTTGTTAATTTTTGTGAAGCAGCAAACCAGACTAGGCACGGCAACTACAAACCATAAAACTGAGAAACTCCAATATACCGTAAGTATCCAAAAGCAAAGATTAAAGCTTTGTAATAGGGGAAAACAAACCCAAGCAAAAACAAACCATCTGCCACACGAAGAAGCCAGACTGTGAGACACACAGGCTAACACAGCCAAGCAACTGCTTGTCATGTAGGTTTAAGGAGCTAACGTATTGTTAAGTATGTTCACTCGTCCTGAGCATGGCTTTTCTCAGGAGGCTTGGATTTATTTTTCCTTAGACTTAAGGTCAAACATTAATTCAGACACCCTTAGTGCAGTGGCACATTTGAGCTGATTTGGCTGATACAAAGTAATTCCAACTGGACAAGAGTTCTTCCCAATTCAGCAGCTCAAGGTACATCAAGAGTTCCCAGGCCAGTCACCTGAGAACAACAAAATCCCAGCTTATACATATTTATACAAATATTTCATATATTTAATATATACAGAGGACTTAAAACAAATATGTCCAAATCCTAACCTCTTTATCATCTTCAGATTTCCTATCCTCCTCCTCTTCCTCTTCTTTCTCAGACTTCTCTAGCTCCTTTTGCTCTTCTTTTTGTTCCTCAACTTTCAGCTGCTTTGTCAGTCGAGCTATCAGCTGAGATTTCAGTCCCTTAGAGCTAAGGGTTCGACTTTCTAACTCTTTGCGAAGGTCATTTACCTGGTAAATATAAGCTTTGTGAGTGGTATCAAACAGTGACATCACAAACATTGGATTAGTAGAGAAAGTGAGGTAAAAATCAACAGCACTGAAAAGTCACCTGTACTTTTTAAACATGTGCTTAAAACCATAAATAGTTACTGATACAAAAAACCTATTGCATTTAAACTAATGTTTTCCACAAAAAAACTTCTTTCTGAGGAACTTTTCACAGAGGCAGGGAAAGGATTCTGTTAAAGTAAAATAGTTTATTATCACTAATGCTTTTGAGGAAACTTTATGGGATGTCTCCTGACATAGTTAAAAAAGGCAGTAATTGTACAAAAATGTACAATTTTGTAAGTATTTTAGACCCCACATTTCTTAACCTAAGTAGCAATCTGGCAGATTACAGCAGAACTCTTGTTTTCCAGTTCATGTATCATAGGTGATATTCTTTAATTGTACAAAGTTCAGAATAGATTTAATTAGCTGTGTTCACTTTCTACAACCAGGAGTCATCCCTGCGTACTGTGACACCACATCTGGCACCTATAAATTCAGCAAAACACTACTGAAGTTTTCTTGCTCAGTTAAGGAAACATACAGCTGCATTTCAGGTCATGTCTTAAAAGTGAAAAAATATAACGGAATCCAATTTTCAGAAGCGTTTGTTACCTTCATTGTTTTTGGATCCAGTTTAGACCAGTGTGTAGGCGTAGAGATCTCTTTAGCTTCCCCATCATCCTTTTCCTCTTCATCCTGACAAACAAAATTTCAAAATTATCATTCAGAAAGCTTGAAAGCATTTCAGTTATTTTTTAAATTCTGTTGCTGATCTGTGCAAGGTCACAACTGTTTCAGATAGTCTTCTCCTAAAGTTATTATTTAGACAAGTTCACACACACATTCTACCACTTTATAAATGATCACAGTGCCACTCAGCCAATACAAGCCAGATCTGTGGAACACAAAAGGGTGATAAGCAACACCACAAAGGATATTGGGGTTACACAGACACTGCTGGTCTCCAGTAACCACACAGTGGGTGATCTTCCCCCACATTTTAAATCCCCCAAATTACTCTTTGTTCAGTCAGACCTTCCCTTATTCCAAGATGCTGATCAGCCACATGGCCTGAAATTCAGATGTTTCAGACTAATGTCTGTTCAATTTCAAATATCACAATTAGAACTGGCCACAAGAGAGAATTTAGAAATTTCAGAAAATGGCAAAATGTTTGAAGACAGCTATTCATAAACTGAATCTCACTCAACAACTGGTCCCAGATTCCAGCAACTACGTCTACGATAAAAATTGTCTGCGCATCATAAGCACAATTTAATTCCGTCTGTGATATCAGCATACACATTTAAAGTTAGTGAACTAGCTGAAATAAAAATAAAAAGCAACATTCACTACACTGCTGAAAGCTGGTTTACCAGTCATTGTTACCAGTTATGTTCCTCCTATGTATGTATGTTGTGTAGTATGTGGTGTGCATTTTGTGCCTGTGTTCCTGTGCCTGTGAGAAGCAGAAATAGAAAAAGGGATTAGCGTTCAGTGCCTGTTCTCCATCAGCCTCCTTGCGTTCACCCTGAAGCTTCTCGACCAGCTGCTGCTTGTATCCTCGGGAGAGGGTTTCCCACTCTGAGCGGGTGGGAAGGCAATGCCAAACATCCGGGAAAAATAAAACCACTGTCTCCACATGAGCTGGAACTGTACGCCCCTTGTGGGTCTCCTCAGGGCGATGGTAGCGAATCTCTGCAAAACGGTACCTGTTGCAAGGGAAGAAGCATGTTGGAAAAAAAATTCTACAATACATTTTAAAGAGCCTAGATCACTTGTAGCACATCAAGTAAAGAAATTTTGCTGCAAGACCTTGAGGTTTATCTAAAGAAAAAAATTATGGAAGCCATATTTTCTCTTCTGGCACACTTGTAAAAAGGTATCGCAACTGAAAAGGAGGAAAATCAACAAAATGCTTTTCATAAAACTCATTGTTTACCCCAAGTAGGTTTTATGTGCAATTAGAAGTTGTTGAAGAACTTCAAATTTAGCATACAATAGGCTTTCCTGGTATTGGTACAACCACAGTGAGTGTTAATGCAGGACAAAAACTCATCAAGAGAAAATATGGCTGTATAACAAACGGCTATTTATTTATAACAAAAGAATAATGAAATGAAGTTCTCTTGACGATCCTCTCCAGCTATGCACAAAATGAAAAATATTTTCAACGCACATTCATTAAAAAAATTACAGTATAACATGTCAAAATAAACCCAGAATTTTTAATTAGTTCTTAAAGCAGTATTCAGCACAGTTGGCACCAATCAAGCTGATTACCAAACAGAACATCCTTTGAGTAGTTCACCTGAACTACCAAGAGCAGTTGACACAGAAAAAAGGGTTTTTCCAGCCTTTTTTTTTTTTTTTTTAAGTCCTGGTAACAGACAAGTATTTATTTCTACAGTGTACTTGGCTTTGCAGTACAGTACTTACCATTGTGTGCACACACTTAAGTCAATCCCTGTAAGAGCCTTGCAACAACGAATTGCCGTCTTTATCAGCACCGAAGGGTCCTTTTCTGGATCAGGTCCGTCCAGTGAGGGGGACCAGTGTCCTCCAATAGCCATAGCTTCATCTTTGCCTTTCATACCCACTAAAAACTAGACAAAAAGAGTCTTCTGAATGTTGCCCTGCTAGGGGTAAAAGGTCATTTTCCCAAAGTGCAAAGAATATTTCATAGCACACACACTGAAATCCGTGAGTAAACCGTGAAATTATTTTGAAATCTGAAAATGAAAATCAGTCAAGAAAGAGTTCAGTTATTTTTTTCCACAGATTATTTCAGCAATGGAATAGGTTTAAACATCATCACTCATTCTTGCTTTCAAGATTTTCCATCAAGTTCGTTTATTGGTATAGGCTTGTCCCTTTGCAATTAGAAGCTTTCTAACCCAAAAGACAGACAGTAACTTAAATGGTGTCTTAACTCTGATACACATTTATACATGTGCCTGCTTAAAAGTGAAGAAGAAAAGCTACAAAAGGTGAGACCACAAGAGCACCATACCTATAAATGAAAGTATACCCGTGTGCTGCAAGTCAGAATTTAACTGGAAAACAAGTCTGCTGTCTGGAACACCACAGCACTTACAGCTGGCTCAGTTTAATGGTTAAGTTTCACTTAACCGCCGCTTAACTGTTCCATCATGTGTATTCTCTTCGCAGCTGAGCCCTTACAAAATCAGTAAGTGCTTGTAAAAAGCAGCTAACAAAGTCAATTATTTTAGTTTAACTAAGAGGAACAAAGCAGTAAATGTGAAGCTCCTATAAAGTGGAAAAAGAATTGACTATATAAACTAGGTCTCTTCAGAGGAAAAATGAAGTCATCATTCAGCTGTCTACAAGCTCCTCTCTTGCTGTCAAAAACGGCAAAGCTCTATAACCAACCTTTATTGCCAAAAGTGTCTGGCATGGAAGCATATTTACCTTTACAAGTCTAGCAGGATGCTGAAATCCATCACGAAGTTCTTGGGGATCCTCAGCCAGAGCACATGACTTGTGGTAGAGATCTTCCATGCTAGGACTAGCCATCAACATCACCTGTGGTGCAAGTCAGAGCAGTGTGGTGAAGGTCTCGCTACAACTGGTAAACAACGACCACAACTCGCAAACACACACACCAAAACTTAACAGGGTTGCTCTATACCCTAAACAGGTGTATGATAAAACAGGAGGCTCCTTCTCAGTCACTGTGTTTTGAAGCTCAGCATTCTGAAAGGCAGCTCTTGCTCTCCATGTCTGATACTTGAGCTTTATGGTTTTTGTACACAGAAGGTAAGTTAAGCCTCTCTCTATGTGAATGTCAAAATATGCATCAAGAGCTGTAATAATATATAAAAGACCCCTTTATCAAAACATTTTCCTAAAACCTGTTCCATTTCAAGTCTGTCACTAAAATAGGTCTGAGATTTTGCCAATCTGTGTTAGAAGTATTACATGTTAAAGACAGATCTCAATCTACTTCAAACAATAAATATTGAGATGAATAGGAAAGAAGGAAAGAAAATACCACTAAACAGAGTAACACAAACTGCACAGAAAGAGTTCAGTTATTTTTTTCCACAGACTATTTCAGCAATGGAATAGGTTTAAAACATCATCACTCATTCTTGCATCAGGTTTGTATTGAAGGAATAAAAAGGACTACGTTAACTACTCAAAATGAATGGCCTAAGAAATCATTCAGGGACCTTGCAGGAGCTGGCTTTCTTTTCCTATAATCACATCACTGCACTGAGTGCAGACAATGGAAGAGCCCTCTGTAAACACAAGATTTAGCACAGCTCTAGTAACAGAAAAACAAACTGAATTTCAGTTGTGATTCTTTAAGCTCTGTATACTAGCTTTTTACTGAAAAGTTTAAAACACTGTACTTGGCTCAAATGACTGCAGAATGTCTTCAGTTCTGTTATACCCACTTTTGCACCCTATTGATAAAAAAATTTCTAATGAATAGTGGTATCAGTGGAAAAGCATACAAACCTTAGCACTGTAGAGATGATCAGCATCAGGTGGATCAAGGACAGCAGCGTTCTTATCTATAGGATCTACTTCTCTATGCATTACATAGAAATTACAGTAGTTTCCCAGCTGAAATGGTCTAGACATAGGGAAAGCATCCACCCACGTGAACTGCGCATCAAAGAAGTCGCTGGGGATATACAAGTTCTGGTAACGCCTCCTCAGCTCCATCATATCACAGCTACGGCTGAAAGACACGCAGTATTTACAGATACAGCAATTAAGAGCTATTAACCAAGTACATCATCAAGAGGTATATTAATTGGCAATACAACCATTGTATATTTGATGCTGCACATATAAAATCTCAAGAACATTACATCTGAATGTCATGGACAAAGATTAAAAAAAATGTAACTGTTAACCAGTTCCAATTCAGGTGTCTGCATGTTAGGGAATGCTCACTGAACAATGCTATAAAGCTATTTTGCAATAGCATTCTAAAGTAACACAGAACCTCCAACAAGGTTCTTAGCCATTACATACTCGACCCTTCTCTGCAGTCAGGATCATCATCCAACACCCACTTACACACACGTGGGCTGACACGGCTCACGGCAGCTGTGCCACGATGAAGTGAACTGCAGGGAAACCCCTGGCACTACAAACATACCAGTCCAAGGAGAACTTGGAGAACTGCACGGTGTAACGAGGAACGACGCGCCGCGGTCTCCGCGGGGACCTCTCCCTCTCGCGCCGCGGCGATCGCTCGCGGGAGCGTTTCCTCTGCGGAGATCTTTCCCGGGACCTGCGCCTCTCTCGCTCTCTTTCACGACTTAAAGAACACACACAAAACGCAAATATTTTTGCAGGCTGGTAACACAAAATGATTTCTGGCACAACAGAAGCCAGACCTGTCAGAGACAACTCAAAAAAGGCAAGTTTCAGAACGGTCTCTTTACATGAGAAACTGATTACACAACTCCTTACTTTCACATAGATAAGAACTCTTCCATAATTCCACTTGTGTGTCTTGCTGACCCACTCTGGAGCAAGCAGCTCAGCTCTGGGTCAGGAAAGGTTTTATGGAATGCTTGGATCACAGTCTGGTCTACATACCTCCTGTCATCTTTTCGGTTTGGCATAGGGTCTCCACCTCGGTCATTCCTCCCAGAAAACCTGGATGGTGGGTCTAGTCTTCGAGCTGGTTGTGGCTGTGAAACCAGACGGACTGGGGGCTGCAGCAAACCACCTGAAACAGAACGTACAGCATCAGTACAGAACAGGGGGCAACTGCCTACACTTGAAAACACTGCTGCTTACAGCTGCTTCACTCGTGCACGTTTTCTAACCTAACTCTACAGTCGAATTTAGCCTTTGTTAACACCCACACAAAGAAACTCAAGAGACTTAAGCTTTTCTTCACTGTAGAAAACTGACACTCTTTAATAAACTGACATTTTTTAATAAAGTGAAATTGGTTTAAAAGCATCTTCTTGAGATGGAAGCTAATATAACCTAAACACACAGAATTCATCTCAATAAACAGCTAAGCCTTTTCAAAACCATAAATTATACATATATTACCTACTCACTGAACTGAAGGAAAACTGAAATCCTCATTTTAAGGTTTTTCATACATAAAAATAAAAAATTATTCCTAAATCAATGTATCATACTGCTACATCAATCCCTCAGCACATAATTTCTTTGCCTTGAGATAATTAACCAAGTGATTTAAGTGAAGCAAACGTTACTAAACACCAATGAACGACTACGACTAATTAGATTGTAGTAAGCATTTATGCAAAACAATTCTGCTACGGTTTTCTGCCCTTGCTTCTACTCTGTTAAGATCAGTCCTAATATGATCACTTCTATCACTGATTCCTTAGCCACTCAAAGTTCGAGAGACTTCACAACCTTTCTTTTACATTTGCCATGTTTGGCAGTGTTTCTCCTCTCAGATGCCAACCTGGCTAACTGAAAATAATAAGCAAAGAAACAACAGCTTTAACAACATAACTGCAAAACCCGATTTTGTGGAAAACTGCAGAAGATGCTGAAGGACTGCACTGCTATTAATTCTTTCAACTCCCCACCTTATCTGAGAAAGAACAAAAAATTACATTGAATTTGCTTTCAGATTACAAAATCTTAACATGAACAGGAGTCCATGGGGGCTTCACTAACCAGGTGATTCTGAGCTACTGCAGGCAATGTGCCTTGCACACAGCTGCAGGGAGACATATTCAATCTGAAAACTCAGCAAAGCCCCCTCCATATTATTTCAGTTATTACTTCCACCTTGTGATTAACAAGAAAATAACCATCACCAGAAATAGGAGTCTCCTCGAGCCAGGTCTCATAAGCTCTTGGAGATCTATTTCTCACCCAAGATAGCTCAGCTACCTTAGAAGACAAAATCAGCAGATGGCTTCTGTGGTAGTGTTGGAAACAAAAAAGTTGTAATAAAAGGCAAAACAACAAAACTCTTTACACAGAGAAACACCGAGCCAGGTGCAAGAGTCCTTGCCCCTGGTAAAACATCTCACAAAAGCCATTAGTTTCTTTGTTCTCTTCTTTTTCTAGTGAATTGCCCAGGCAGGACTTTTTGGCTCCTGTCCAGCTGGCTATCCTTAAGTTTGAGGTGAAGTCCCCCAGGTCCTATGAGATGCCTTTTCACCTAATCGAGGAGAGAAACTTCTGGGCTTATTTCCTTTTTAAGGGGACAAAGGATAGCTTTGTCACTCCGTCAACAGGGGGGCACATCCCTATCATCACCCACTGAGCACCAGAGTGACCCCCCAAAAAGCGTGCGCTGAAGGAGCACCTTTCTGCTGTGGCTGCTGCAGCAGCGGCTGGGGCTGCGTCTGGAGCAGAGGTGTGATGGAGGCTGCCGAGATCTGCGCCTGCAGCAGGGACTGCGGCTGCGGCTGCGCCTGGACGCCGAAGGTCTGCTGCGCGATGGGCTGCAGGACGGCCGGCGGCGTCTTCAGCAGCGGCTGCGCCTGGCTCTGGTTCTAGGGAGACACGGCAGTGAGGAGCCAGCTCCACCCAGCCAGCCCTGCCCCGGCACCTACAGCCCCACCCACCTGGTTCGGCAGCGTCTGGATCCTTTGGGCGTTCCATTTGAAGGGCATGTTGGGGTTGTAAGTAGCTTCTACCAGAACTCTGTCACCCACCTGAGGTGTCTTGCCTTTAACAGCACTGCAAACGTGACAGAAAATGTACGTGAGAGGCTTCTTTAGCTAGGTTTTTTGCATGTTGCATTTAAAGATGGCAGAAAGTAGGCAAAACTCATTAAAAAAAGCTTATGGGAAGAGTATCTACCCCCAAATTCAGCATTAATGCTACCTGCCTCAATTCAGGTATGCACAGGAACTTAGTAATTCCCTGTCTTTGGCCCTAAGGGAAAAGTTCCCCAAAGAGCACCACTTTAAGACATGCAGACAGCAGGTTTTATGCTTTTAATCACCCACAAATTCTGCAATTTCCTATTACACAAAGCTAATAAATACCAAGCTTTGGGCTTTGTATTAAAAAAAATTCACATGAAGAAACTCAGACTTAGCATGTATTAACCTCTCCGACTTTCGCTGTTGAATGAAAACAACACACTGCTGCCCAGAGAATTAGCGTGCAGTCATCTAAACCTCTGACTACCGAGAGCATCACGGGAGCACGTCCGCAGGCGAGCGCTCACAGCTCACCTAAGCTGAAAAAAGACATCTTCATCCACAAAGCCAAAGGTGTCATGCAGCTTGGTGACCACGCCGGTGAAGACACGCTGCTTCTGCGGCTGCGTTTGCTGCTGGCTGGAGCGGGGGGCGGGGTACGAGACAGTGATCTGCGCTGCCGGCTGCGGCGTGGACAGGCTCAGGCTGGTCGGGAGCGCGACTGCCGGCTGCAAGCGAAACAGAGCCACGCTCAGGGCTGTAAGAGCTGTGAGCTGACGGGGAACAGCTCCTGCAGCCGCCGAGGCAGCAGCTCAAAATGACTACAGCACCCTGGACAGACATTTTCAGACGGTGGTGGCGGCTTCTTGTGGTTTTTGTTGGGTTGTTGGTTTTTTTGGAGATGACATGTTTCTTACTTTGAATGAAGAGTGGTTTTGTTTATCCTTCTTTTTTACAAGAGTCAGCTTCCCCCAAAAATGTAACTTGTCCAGACAAAAAGCATCAAGACTGCATTATTGTCTACAGGTAACCCACACAGTGGGCCTGAAGTGGAGATAAATTCCCAGCTTTGCTAGGAATAAACGCTCAAGAAGTCATTCTGCATTTATATCCCACCTGGAATATGAGAAGTCAGTAAAGGCTGAGGCCAACACAAACCCTTCCCTAATTCAACAGGTCACGTACTTCCCTTACAAAAGCAGAGCACAGTAAGACAACGAAATCAAGTCAAACATTTTTACCTTTTTATAGCCTGAACTTTAAAAGTTCAAGTGAAAATGGAACTAGAGGAATTTGCAATGTGTTAAATGGCTGCATGTTTTAAACCCGTCAAATTCAGCACGGTTCTGTTTAAACCTCTTTATACATATACTGCTAATACAGGAAGTTAAATTCCTTCACAAAGAAGAGAAAGATCTTTCTCATTTGTTATTTACTGCAAAACAGCTGGACACTTGAAGTTCAAAGAAAAAAAAAATTTAAATATAATCAACACACATGTTCCCTTCAAGATTAAGGAAGAGTGGTTGCTACTAATTTTTGAAACCAAGGCTATGCATATTTTAACATCTGGATAAAATAAACCTGTACCAATAAAATATCCACTCATATTAGTTCACTTTACAGATTAAAATACCAAGATATCACAAATTTGCACTCTTGCATTATCTGTGTTTGGGGATGAAGACCAAACAATAAAACCAAACTAACCTGAGTTAAAAGGGTCTGCTGAGGTTGCTGCAACTTAAAATAAATAAAGTTATAAATTAATTTTATATGCTTAAGGAAATTGTACAATTCTACCTCCTCTTTACAAGTAAGAGTTTTTGCTTAATCTGAGTCAGTTAATAGTCCTTTAGGGCTTGGTAATTTCAGCAGTTTGCACATCTGTAAAACTGTGCTTGTGGGGTTCATTTGGAGATCGTATAACCCAGGTTTATACAGAAAGGAGAAATGCTAAATTTTTTTTAACTGAAAGTTAATAGCAATACCAAAAAAATTTGGCAGCTGGAACAGCTTAGGCATGTAATTCCCTTGTACTTTTATTGTTTCCAAAAAATCCTGTTAAGTTAGAAGATCATAATAAAAATCCAAAAGGGAACATTTTTGGACAGCGTCTTCCAGCAGTTAAAATACACGGCCCTGTTTGGAGCAAAGTTCAGCAGAGAATCATTTACACATGGAATAGTACGTATTTTTAAAATTTGTTTTTGCAGGAAGGTAGGCAGGTTTCCATTCTGCATATGTCTTTCCAAGTTTATGAACTTCAAGCTCTCTTTTGCCACACAAAGCATTACTTAAGTTTCTTTAACAACTTCCCACATGAGGATGATTTCGGAGACAAATCCTACAAGACACACAATCAACATTATTTTAAAGTTATTTGTGATGTACACAGTAAGAATCAGACAAACCTGTTGTTGTACACTATAGAGAGTCTGCTGAGGTTGTGAATATTGCTGAAACAGATAAAAGCAAAATATTTTATGAACAGGAGAATTTTTACCACAGTAATATCAAATATGTTACCTGCTTAGAAAGTTCTAGATAAAAATAATTACAATTAAACAATTTTAATTTAAAAATAGCTAATAATATCAACGTATATAATTTCAATAACAAATATTCTGAGCCTTTAGAGTGGGCCCTGATGTTCTCTTTCTAGCTGAAGTCAGCAATTTTTGTTAAGCCTCACACTTAAGACAGTATTTAAGGCACATTACAAAATCATGCAAAATCCCATAGTGGTGGGAGATACTCGAGATTCTCCGTTTAGATGCAGCAAAACCCATTCTCCCGAAGGGCTTTCCACAGCTAAAAATGAACTCCTCCACAGCCCAACTTCCACCCTCACCGAGCAATCCCACCACCGCTAGCTATAAACACCACCCCCCCATGGATAAGACAGGTTCACACTGCAATGTTCACCATTTTCCATTCTCCTTTCCTCCTGGATCCTTTAGCTTTACGGAGTTCGGGGAGCGCCGGCCGCTGTGTGTGCTTTACCTGCTGCAGGGCCGCGGCCGCGGCTGCCGCCTGCTGCTGGAGCGCGGCGCTCTGTGTCAGCTGGTAGTTGGTGGGGGTCTGCGTGGTCAGCCCCGCGGCTGCCAGCGCCGTCTGCTGCGTGTACAGGGTCGGGGAGGCTCCCAGCAGCGAGGGCTGCTGCACGCCCAGGGCAGCTGCGGAGGGAGGGAACGCGGCCGTGAGCGCCCGCAGCACCGCGGATCACGCAGCACGCGGTGCGCGATGCTCTGCGCCTCGGCCGAGCTCACCGAGGGGCGAATCAAGTCCCAGAATTCAAGACCCATCCCGCTGGCTTGTCTTCTAAATCGATCTACCAAGCTTTTCTTCTAAATTCATCTAGCAACAGTAAACCACAGCAGAGGAGCAGAGACCATTGCACTTCCCCCTCTGGAGCGCTCACGATTTTACAGCTCTGTAGCCGTCATCCCCACCTGCACCCACCCCCACCCCCGGGTACTTTCTGGAAGGTATTTCAGGCTCTGGATGAGCCAAATGAAGATTGCTGCTCTGCTCTGTACTTTAATACATTGCACTCTACTGAGGGCAAGAGAAAGCTCTACTGTAACAGCATCTATGAAACAGAGGCTTATGGAACGTGTCCTCTGAAATCACCAAGTTTTTGCTTCACTCAGTGCTGTCTTTGTCCCCTGTGAAGTGGGGGCTGGTGGAGAAGGAAAAGCCTTGCAACAACAGAGAGATTAATCAGTCTGCTTGTATAAGGAGACTGAAGCTCTCTCCAGCTCTTAATAGGAAGGGTTTGTGCTGCCCAGACTCAAACTGCCTAGAAGATTCGTTTATTTTATTGTCATGCCGGCTTTTAATTCACCAGAGAACGTAAGCAAATCACGAGAGGCAGCTAAGCACAGGCCATGCTTCTGAACAAGGCATGCTCAAGGTTTACAGATGGATCTTTTGGGTGACAAAGAGCCCAAAAATTTGCAAAATGTAAATCTCAGCAAAAAACTGCAAACATATCTGGAAACCTGCTCCCTCTCTGGCAGGATTTAAAAAAAAAAAGTTATCGGCAGCTGCATGATCAAATATCACTTCATTAAACTATCAGTCTAGTCCATGTGTTTAAATAAAACCAGAGGGAAACTGGGCAGGGAAACATAGTGCCAGCAAAAACAGGTCAGCCCGCCGTCTTCAGAACTGAGCAACACTCAAGATTAACACAGTTCTTCTCTCTTCCAAAGCCATCAAAGAAAATGGAACGAGGAACAGATTTACAGTATTGCTGCAGAGTTTGTGCTCCACACTGTTCTTACTGATGCAAAATGAAGCTTTCATTCCTGAACCAGGGATGCAGTAAAACACTGCTCGTAGTGGGTGATTGTTACCTTAATGCTGTACCCCACTCAACAGGTCCTGAATAATGTCACCCTTCCTACCACACTGCTCTTTCCAGCAGAGCAGTCTTTGCTGATCATCTTATAATTTTGGAATGAAACAGGAAAGAAATACATGAACAGCACTGAAAATAACTATCACTATCACAGCTATCACTATGATCTGTATCAAATACTGCCACATAAGCATTCCAGGAAGTAACAGTATTTTAAAAGTGAAATCAAGCATTCTGCGGTGTACAGCATTTAATTAACTTTCCCCCCCGGAAAATTCCAAAATTTGCATTTCTTTACAAGCCAGCAAACAAAATTTGAGGCTTCTCTCCTGACAAACCCTCCACTGTCTTCATCCTCTTGCCTCCTGTTTGATCACCAGCTTCAATTTGAATGTGCAGTTTGGGCCATCCAGAAGGACACCCTCAACTGGATCCTCACCACTGTCTCCCGTAACATGCCCTAAACAGACCTTTAAATACAAGTCAAAAGCTCTGCTGCTGTATCCTGGGACAACTTTCACTTTCCTTGGCTGTAGTGCTTTGCTGGCTCAGTCAATGCATTCATCTTTCTCCTCTTACTTCCACATGCCGAGCAGAAATTCCCATTAGTGCAGAAATTTGCTGCATGCTGTTACCTTTGAACACGTGTGACCATGCCAGCTATTGTCATTCAGTCCAAAGTTCTATCCTAATGTTCCAACACAGGGGGATGGAGTTGGGAAGCATTACCAAAAGCAAATTTCACAAGTTTTCTCCTACTTTGTGTACCAACGGTACCCACAAAAATGCCTACTCCCAAACCCAGATCCTGGGACTATTCAGCTCTTCAGTTTCGCATTGCCAATTTCCATTTCAGCGTTACCCAGAATTATCTCAAGCAATTCCCAGCCCATCCTAAGACCCTTATCCCATTTTGTCAACTAAGGAAAACCAAGAAACGTTGCCATCTCTACTGTCACTTTTTGAGCATTTAATATTAACTGGGTATCTCTGTCTACAACACTGCAGATCAACCTACCAAGAAAGGGCAAAGACAAAAGACAGCCAAGATCCTCTGAGGATAACACCTGTAGTAACAAGTTTTTCAAAGCTGTATCTTGTTCCCACTGATTTGCCCAGAAGTATTCCAAGACTTTCATCTGACTACCTTTCATCTGTGTACTCATCTTGGTCTAACAGGCTCCAATTAATTAGGCAACTGAGTTTGCATTACTAGTTAAAAATAAAATAAAAAAATAAAAAAAGAGAGAGAGAACAAAAAGGAAAAATCACACAGAAAAACAAGAGACCGAGAATTAATCAGACTGAGTCTGGAACTGACATCTGACTGCCACATTATTGTTACTGGCAACAAGCATCTGCAGTGGCAAACAATAGCTTCTCAGGATTTGTAATCATCTCAGTAAGTACAGCGATGGAGATGCCTTCCTTCACAGCAGTGCAAACAACTCTCACTGGCACCAGATACTGTGTGGCACCTCCAGCTGGAAGAGCTCAGACAGAAACTGGGGTCCCTAGGCTGCAGCTCTGGGTTAGGTTATAGACATTTCTGCTGCAACCAACACAAAGACAGTATTTAGTAGTGCCTCTTCCTACCCCTAAACCCTAAAGATCCCTAGAAGTTAGGGAAACATCTTCAAAATACACAGCTACATGTCTCCTTGGTCAGTGACACAGCTGTATTAGAATGACAGTAAAGCCTGTGCAGGGCTTGGAACACTTCTCACAGTTGTCAGAAATTGTGAGACTGGGTCCTTGGGCTTCCAAGTTTCTTTAAGCTTCACACACTTGCAATACAAACATCACACAACCACTCCTTTTAACAGGCACACACCAGCAACCAGGCTCAGCCCATTTGTCACAGGACATGTGTTTACAGCAAGCCAGCACACTGTGCACCAGCTCCTATTCCTTAGTGGGCTGAGATGCAGCACATGCTCACCCTGTCCTTACACTGGCTTCAGTCACCTCACAGGGCCACCAAGCTGCAGGCACTTCAGCTCCCATCAGCTGCACCATTCCTCACTCCAACGCAATGGAGTCTTGATACAGCAAAGCCAACACCACCAATCAGGCAGAACACAGCAGAGCCAGGACTTCCCAGCACCACAGCTCTATAAAATCAGGCTTTTCATCATAACCCACAAACAGCACAGGGCAAGCACTGTGACACACACCAGAGAGGTGCCAAAAATGAAGAGCTAGAGAGGAGGAGGGAATTCTCCTTTGCAGGCGTTTCAGGAGTTTGCACATTATGCAAGTAAAACTAATTTTCTGTAGTAGGCATGATTTAATTTATTCTTTAACAATGCTTAACCACCATGGAGGGGGCTTTATTCTGGTTTTAGTCTTGTGATGCATAAAAGCATGGGATGAAGAGCAGACAAAAATTCACTGTGTTACATGTAGGAGTTTCTCTTCACACATTGATCTCTGCTGGCACCTGGAACTGCCCATCCCTCTTCTAATTCCACAGGCACAGAGAGTAATTAATAAACCCTCCCAAAGGGATCACAGACCCCTCATTACGTAGCACATCGGTCTACAACCAGAGTGCCACACCTTAATAATTAAGAGCTTTAACTCATTTAGTTACTTCTTCACCAGGGATGGCCAAGACAACATCCACATCAGCAATTCAAAAAAAATCCACCAAAAAATTCCTAAACCAAAACAATGAAAAACACAAACCCTCAACACTGATACTACCTTTTTTGCAATAATCAAATTGGGTTTCTAACACCATCACTCACTGCTTCTGACAGCTTGAAAAAAACTCTGTATCATGTTTGTGTTACAAAAATCCAGATCTCCTTCCCTCACACCCAAGCACCTCAAAGCTTTGGAGAAGGAACCTGACACTTGTGACAAAAACAGCTGGGATTCATAAACACATGTAACAGCTTCAGCCAGTCCTCTGAAAGGATGTTTTCAAAATGAGTTTGCTAACACTGAGGTTCACAAGGATAAGCCAAAACGCACCATTTCTTGGGTGCAACATGGGTGAGCAGCAGTTGAGGCTGCTCAGCACACCTGAGCTCTGACAGCACCTCTTCCTTAGGAAAACAGCCTCCCTGGAAGGTGACAACTTCACACTAAAAGGGACAAGTTCAACCAGAAACACTGTTCTTCAGCTCCCAGCAGTGTCAAAGAACACTGCTCACCTTCCAAAAGATGCTTCCTCTGCTCTGTATTATAAATCAAAATACCTATTAAAAAAGCAGGGGAACAATTATGTACTAAAACAGCAGCTGGGCAGAAGAATCCCAAGGACTGGATTCAGGGGAAGAAAGAGGATGCAGACATGGTGACTTTACTGCAGCAGGAACAGGAAAGGACAATGTGAAGAGGACACCAGGAACATGAAGGAACATGGAGCTAGCACAGGAAGAAGGCAGAAGCACAACCAAATGTCACATCTGTAGTGGCTCTCATGTTTGAGTCAGGTGCTGCTGGGTCAGATGGACAGCTGTAAAGCCCAGCAGATGCTGGCCTCACTGAGCAGGTGAAAACTCTCACAGCAACCCATGCTGACCAGTTACATCTGCACTTCATCTAATTTAAGGAGGCTCAGAAGTGGCTGGCCCAGACAGAGTCACAAGCACAAGAAAAGGGGCGAGAGGCTGACGCAGGCTCCATCCACCCCTCCTGCTCCTACCCCAGCAAGCTCTAAGATGACTGCCAGCTCCTCCCCTGGGCAGGTTTTGTGCAGCTTTCCCTCTGGAAGAGGACATGGAGCTCTTTTTGATGCATCAGCTGTCACATCAGCCAAAACACCAAGAACAGTCCAGCCCAGGAGCTCCCATTCTTTGACTGCTCCAGTGTCTGTCCCAGTCTGACATGAGAACCAAAAGAAAAGTTTGTCTCTCCCACATTCCCAACCCTTTCCAGCTGTTAGGGATTTTCTTACAGAAGGAGATAGTGCCACTTGGATAAGGGAAGTGTGAGTTATTCAGAGAAAAACTGCCTGTGGGCAGCTGCTTAGGGACAGCAAGAGTTGAGGTAGGGAAGGGAGCAGAGTGGGCATGGAGGAAAAGGAAAAGGCAGACTGGGACAAAGTGCTGGGAGGCACATGGGGGTGGTCACTCCCTGGGGATACACAGTGTGAGTGGAGCACTGCCCATGGGAAACACTGCAGACAGAGGATTCACCTTGGGAAAGAAAACTGAGGCAGGAGAGGAGAAAGATTCCTATCCCAGAGATGCACCTCCAAAGAATGTCACACATTCCCAGCCTCTGCCAGCTGCCATTGACAAAGGAGGTGTGACACTGAACTTCATGTCAAACCAGAGCAACTGCAGAACCCACACATCCTGAACCCTCAGCTCTGCTGAACTCTCTTTACACTGCACAACATAACTCCAGCATCTCACTAACAAACTATTTGTACTCAAGAAAAGCACAAGGTGCTCCAGAACTGGAAATGACAGCACCCAAATTCATCGTGCATCCTTGCCTCAAACCTTCTGTGCTGTAAGCCAATAGACAAATGGAACCAGCCAGGTTTTTTAACCAGTGACTTGCAATTAGTAACACTTCTTAGCTCAATCAAAGGAAACTCTCTACCATTATTAGAGCAATACCTCTGGTTATAGGGACTTTAAATTCTAATTCAGCATTAAAAAATAAATACCCCCCTTCTCACCCAAGCAACAAATTTCAGAGAACTTTCCACTATGTGGATTGTATCTAATCTATCAATAAAACAAATTAATAAAATAATATGTAAACATTGATTCAGGCTGCCCAAGAAATGAAACTCAGGCAGCACTTAAGAAATCTGAAATGCCTTACTAGAGCTGATATTATTTAGTCCAGAACCGTGCAATTTCATATGAGGTAATTTGATTTACACATCTTGGGATATGACTAACTTGATCTGCTGTTTATTGCCTAAAACAATCAATACAAATTCACCTGGGAGTTTACTCACACCCCTTAAGAAAACCAAATAACAAAACCAACAGACATTACCAGACAACGACTTTTAAAGTCTCTATTGGGGGAAAAAACTCCCGATTTCAACCACCTAAATAGACTTTAGATAAGTGAGTTAGCACTCTGAAGTGCATAGCCAAGTATGGAATCTCCAAATCTACTAGATGTCAGGGTTCAAGCATCGAGTGTAAACTGACCTGGCTGAGACACCGCAGTGGCTGTAAACTGAGTAGCCCAAGGGGGATTTTTCTGTCCTCCAAACTGAGCCATGGCAGAAGGTAGAATCTCCCGGGTGTCTATCTTCTGTAACTGCAATCTAGTAAAATAAAGCGCAGCTGCAATCTTTGAAACAAATACCGTCAGGCTATTATAATTCTGGGCCCAAAAAAAAAAAAAAGAGAGAGAGAAAAAAAATAACCCAACCATCCAAAGAAACCAATCCCACAAAGCCAGAAAACACAAAAAAAGAGTCTCGAAATATTAGTTTTACATCCCTAAAGCCCGGTGGGCAACATGCGCCGCGGATGGGGAACACAGAAAGTTGTAAAGCAAGTTATTTGATTTTCCAAAGGCACAATCGCCATCTCCCACTTCTTAGAAACGGGACTAACGCGACTCAAAACGCAAAAACGCGCTCCCGTTCCCAGGAAGACTGAGGGAAAGGTGACTGTGCGGAGCCAAGAATTTACGGCTGTTATTTGTCCCCCACGGCCGCTCCGGGCCCGGCGGCCGCGGCAGCCCGGGAACCACGCGGGCCGGGCCGCGGCGCGGCCCCGCCGCGTGCAGGGTCCGCGCGGCTCGGGGGATGGGCCGCGCCGCCATCTTGGGCGAGGCGGGGGCGGGCGGGGCCGCGGCGCCGCCATCTTGCGGCGGGAGCGCCCTGAGGGCGTCGCGGGCCCGGGGCCTGTTGGGGCTGCCCTCCGCCCCAGCGAGGGCTCGGCGGTGCTCACACACACCCCAGGCTGCCTCAGAGCTGCCGGACATAGGCAGCCCTCAGCCCCCTCCTGGCCCTCCGGTAGCCGACACACGTTCCCGGGATTCTGAGGGGGCACAGGGGTCATCTGAGGTGAGGGCAGAGCAGCCGCGCTCACGGACTCGTCAAAGCTCTTAAGATGCTTTGGCGCGGAAATTGCAGCCAGGATCAGTGCTGTAAGCAGTTCAGGAGTTCTGGGCAAGAGTAATTTCTCTTCTTTCGTAGTCTGAGTCGGAAAGGACTTCAAAGGATCATTGAGTCCCGCTCTTTGAGTGGCCGATTCATGTAGGCATTGGTCAAACCCATGACCTTGGTGTTGTTACAAGCAGCTTTCCATCCTGTAAATAGTTTTTCACACGAGTTTGTTTTGAAGTGAGACAGACACATGATTTCCTACCTACATTTGAGTAAGTCAGCACTTCGTAAATGAAAATTGGACTTTGAAGTGTTACATTGTCGTTAAAAACAGAAGTTGGTGATGGAATAAAATCTGAGAAGCAGCAACATCAAACTCGCAGTGAGGTGGATTGTCTTGTAGGAGGGCATGTAGATAAAGAAGCAGAAGATCATCAGGTGTAAGTAAATTTCTGCCAGCATCTGCTAGTTAATAATATATAAAGACAGATCTGCCTTTGTTTTTTAAATTCTGTTTCAAATTAGATGAAGGTTTAGATGTTTTACACTCAGAAGCATAGTTCTTACCTTTAAAGTCGACACATTTTATGCCTTGTCTCTTCCTGGCATAACTCCACCCAGCTCAGTCAGTTGACTGAAGCAGAATCTGTACCCTTAACCTGCAGACAAGATTAAATGTTTAAAAGGTTGCAGGGCTTTCTCCCACATTGTGTGTGAAAAGGACAATAGCAAAATTGTATTAAAGTAGAAGGCAATTGTGGGTGAATATCAGAGCACTGTGAAGTATTGTGCACTCCTCTGGCCCAGGGTCTTTTTATCAGACAATAAAGGCTCTCAAAGGAAGCCTCAGAGGAGCCACAGCCCCGATTTCCTGTGCCTCAAGCAGAACATTTCTTGTACTTTTCCTTCCCAGACACGCTGCTGCATTACCTGGCAGATCCTGCCCCTGCCATTTTTAGCACACGAACGATTCCTTTTGAACTGCTGAGGTCTCTGGATCCTCTACTCAAGACAAACCACGCTGCTGTGATGAAAAACAGCTGTCATGGAAGTGGCAGTGAAAAATACGTGCACTTGTGGTCTTGTTTCTTAAAATAATTCTAGGTCCCTGGATGATCTCTTAAGTGCATTGAACAATTTAATCCAAAAGTGATGAGAGGATAGAAGTGTGAAATACATGAGATTTCCACAAATCACCTTAAAATAAAGAGGCAGGTTGAGAAAAAGATACAAATTGGAAGTATTCAGTCCCATAAAGTGAATTGTTGCTTCCAGCTTTCTGGTCTTAGACGTCTGCTATGAAAGAAAAACAGAAAAAGAAATGTGGTAAAAGCTTATTTTTGGTTGGGAAAAAAACCCCAACACCCCAAACATTTAATTGTGTTTGTGTTATGCATTTTGGGGACAGGACTGGAAGGGAAATGATGATCTTCTAATGAACGGGCTTTTGATAATCAGCACCATTGATAAGAGACAGGAATCAGTGTTTCACAGCCAACATGCCTCTCCTCAGCCAAAAGTGAATAATGATGTATCTGTCCAGCTAAATGCTGCTTACAGGGAGATGGTTATTTCACTCAATGTCAGCATGAAAAATCATTTTATCACTTTTCCATAATCTGGTCCTAAAAACCTTTCTGTGCATCCTGTTCAACTTCTGAGTTAATTTGCAGATCTAAAGCTGTCACTACTGGAACCTGCTTTTTGCGGCTCTAGATGGGCTCGTTTGTTTATTCTCTTGAGGAGGCCAGAAGAGATCCTTCCGAGAGAATCAAACACGTTTTTCCCTTTCTGCATATCCAGCAGTGGTAGCACCAGTCCAGTTAATGGCTTTTGGTGCTTCAGTTGTAATCACGTGCAGCGTGCAAGCACCTAAGCAAGCTGTCATGGAGGTTTTGGTGCACAAAAATTTCCCTTGTAGTCCTTTTGCCCTTTGCACTTCACCCTTTGCCAAGCGTGTGACACAGTCAGTTCTGAAATTTAATACAACAAACTGAACTTTATTGCATGCTGCTGTACAAAGTATTTGACAAAAGTGATTCTGAACTGGCCCTCAAGGATACAGGAAGGATGTAACAGCTCAACCAACCTGCTCAGGTCCAGCTGATTGTAAGTAACGTTTGTCTGTCTATTTGTTTGCTTTTAAGAGTCACAGGGTAAGAAGAAAAAAGCTTTTGTGGTCTGCTATATTGCAATAAAATTAAATGCATTGAGAACAAACTTCTGACAAAGTTTTAAATGACCAGAAATATCAGGGCATAAATAAAGTAATTGTTAATTATTTTGTAGGTAATACACACCAGAAGCACAGGGGAAATTTTTCACTTTGATAAAAGAGAGGATTTTTTCTCAGTTGGAGCAACTGAGAGAGTCCCCATGCCTGGAGGTTCTCCAGACACAGCTGGGCAGGTGCTGGAAAGTCCCAGCCAGGCTTTGTTTTCCACACAAGGTGGCACAGGGTGATGGTTTGAGGTCCCCAGCAGCCTGGGTGCTCTGTGAGCTGTAGGATCACGTCAAAAAGGAGATGTAATTCCCCTTGCCAGGAAGCTCAGCAACAGGGGCCTTTCATTTTCAGGGCTCCTCTTCTCTTAGCCAGCCTGACTTAGGTCAAAGCCCTGGGCACCTCCAGGGAGGCCCTGGTTCTGTTTTTCAGGTGTACTGGGTGTGGCTGCACACACAGGAAAGGTTTCCCAGCCCTCTCCTCACAATCCTGGGGTAACCAGCCACATGAAAGCCAAGCAGCACATCTGTGGACAGGCAGTGAAGGAGAGCGGTGACAAGAAAAATCCTGACCACCTTTAAAGCCTCAGCTCCGTGGCTTGAGAAGCAGGAGATGGAGAGCTGAGAGCCCACTGCCCTTCCACGCTGCCAGTGCTCAGCCCCTGCCCAGAGCGGAGCACAGGCCTCTGCCATCTGCGGGACAGACAGACAGACAGAGCAGTTCCTGGTGCAGGGCAGCCGAGGGCACAGAGGGACAGTTCCACTCCCAGGCTGCTGTACAGGAGGAGCAGGGAGCAGCCTGAGAGCTTCTGTGCCAACAAGAACCCAGGCAAGGCCTCCAGCAGCGGGGGACAGCAAAGGACACCACTGAAACTGATTTCTGCTGCTTGCTTAGGTGCCACAGCAGTTGCATATTAAGGGAATTCTATGTTCCTGGGGGGTTCCAGAGCCTCTGGCTCCTGACAGGCCTGCTGTGAGCACTCCACACACAGCACCCTTGGGGCTTCTCTTTATTTTAAATGTTGGTGAGTACCCACCTAGGCAGAGCTGTGGCCTAAGGAGGATTGTTACACAGCGACAAACCTGACCCACTCACAGCCTCTTACCCTCATGGAACAAGATCACTGGCAACAGCACAAAAAATCAACAAATCCCACCCTTAAAAGCTCTAGGAGCCATAATCCAGGTGAGTCCTTACAAGGCTTTCTGCTGTTGTGGAAGTGAGTTTGGGTCTAGCACCTGGCTCAGTGCTTCATTTCCTGAAGGGATTCCTGCGGTGAAGGGAGTCAGTCATCCTCGTGCAAAAACACAGTCTATGTGTAAAACAAAGTGGTCACAAGAAACTCGACTGCTGACTCCTCACACCACAGGAAACAACGGTTTTGCTGTTCTGAGCTGAAGAAAAGGCTACATCATGCCTCCAGCAGCAATTTAGGAACTCCTTTAGGATCACACAGCATGAAAGGATTGCCCGTTATGTTACAAATGGAGGTGCACATGTGGTATAGCAGGATTTTAAGTAATATTTGACCTGGTGTAAAAAGACATGGACATTTTCAAGAATTCAAATGCTAAGAATGTAAGGATTTTGTATTGGTGGTATGCATCACAAAGGAGTATCCAGAAGTAAACACTGGACATGGAACTGGAGGCCCATCTTGAGAATTGTGCTCCAGCCAATGGTGATTGAAATAGCTGGGTTTAAATTTCCACATTTTAAATACTTTTTCAGTTTGTCTGAGATTAAAAAGACAGATGGGAATAGCTGGTATTTTATTTTAGACTGTCTAGGCTGCGTCCTGAACCAAAACACTAACTGAAGCATTGCCTTGCTTGTGTTTAAATCACATTATTGGTCATGCTGTTTGTGATATACAGAGTGCACAGAAACCCAATGTTTTGATGAATACCCTTTTGAATATAAACTAATACTCTCTGTTAAATATTAACTATCAACAGCAGGAACCAACATTAGCATTGCTGAACAGCAAATCCAGGCGTTCTGTGATGTGTAGCAGTGCAGGAGTACTACAGAAAACTTAACTGT